AATGGTTTAGAATGTCTCAGAAACGTTTTAGAATGTTTTTAAAGTGTTTTAGAGTGTTTTTAAAGTGTTTTAGGTGTTTTTAGAATGTTTTAGGGAAATGTTTCAGAAACGTTTTAGAATAAAGGTTTATACAGTCTTGGACATGAAGGCGCTTTCATCTCACTGATCTGATCCAAACTGATCCAAAATTTCATCCAAACTTTTCCGCTTTCCTTTCCAGGTTTTTGTCTGAAATAGCCTTTACGGTTACCTCTCAGTTTACTGTAACATTAACTACCGTAAACACTCGAATAAAAGCATTTGATAGAGAAGCGTCGTGTAGTCTAAGTTCACACTCAAAGATCACCCATAAGAATCGCTTCATGGCTCCTCATCCAGTACGTTTGTTTCTGCCACTTTGGTACCAAATTAAAGTGAGAAAATGGGTGTTTTTTGAGAAATACACTTCATATTTCTAGCTTTAACCAATGCTTATGAAAAAATGATTGAAAAATGATGAGAAGAATCGTGTTGTGGTTTTGGTTTTTGTGCTGTATTTTACTTTAACAGATTCGCATTTTAGAATTATTGATTTAAATGATCTGAGTTGCTAAAATATTATAAAAAACTAGCTTTTTTGTTGGAGGAAATCAATTTGAAAGCTTATTTATTCAATGACGGATAAATTTCTGTTGATTTGTCAATGATTGGGTTATTTTGTGAAGCTCAAAGTCAAGAGTCAACAATAAAATTTTCCTTTTCCAACAATTTCCTACAATTAGTTGTTTTTCAGCTGCTACAGTGATCATCTGGACAGCCTCCATTCTTGTTTTGGTCGGGATTTTCCTCTACACCGTTCCCCGTTTATTGATCCGTCCGATTGCCAGTGAAACGATTGGCGGACAATTCTTCAGTCCACTTATTGACACTGCTTGATTGACGTGTAAGTTTCAAGGAAATGAGAATTTACTTCTCATTTTCCTTCTGTACATTGTACTTCTTTTATCATCCCACGATTTCACCTGTGGCTTATTGAATTTTCGGGTTCACTACAAGTCACTCCTTCGCCTTCCAAGAGCACTGGAATCTGTTATGGGTTTGATTCTTGTCTCAACCACATAACAGTCTTTGGTTCTTATTGAAAAGGACAAAAAAGTTAGGCCCAAAAATTGAGGAGAATTTGCATCAAACACAGCCAAATTGAAGGCAAAAATTGATCATAGAAATTTGACCATAATGACAGTTCAATCGCTCACCGCTCCTCTCACTTTCGGCCCCAATTAGGATCGATTCTCACTGAAGCCAAGAATTTGAGCATAACAAAGTAGAGAATTAAATTCGAGGATTTTGACGCACAAGTTAAAAATTGAAGCCCCTTCTACCGGGGCCGTTTGCCAAATCGAGAGCGATTACTCGCCCGCACAAAGAACCCCTAGCCATTTACATAAGGATTTCTCCTTTGCTTTGTAGATGCTACAAAAAAGATATTCAGCTGTAAATTTGTACCCGGGGGTTTTCGGAGTCGGGGAATCGATTGAGCAAGCTCATTTTTCTGTAACCTTCAAATGAGCCGTCATTTGAAGCAATATTATTGTAAAGCGTCATTCATTGAAATACCTAAGTCTGATGCTAGAAATCAAATCAAAAATCTTTTCATCAAATTTGATCCCTAATTTTCATTATTAAGCGATTGTTTTAACGTTTTAAAGTGAACTTTAAATGTTTCTAAAAGTACTTTGGCTATAAAATCTCTCAATTTTTCCATAGAGTCAATAAAATGAGTGGCTCCAATTGATTCCCCGGCTCCAATTGATTCCCTGGCTCAATTGATTCCTTGGCTCCAATTGATTCCCTGGCTCCAGTCCATTCCCTGGCTCAATCGTTCCCGGGTCGATTCCTGGCTCCAGTCGATTCCTGGCTCCAGTCGATTCCCTGGCTCCAATCGATTCCCTGGCTCATCGATTCCCTGAACCAATCGATTCCCTGGCTCCAGTCGATTCCCTGGCTCCAATCGATTCCCCTGGCTCCAATCGATTCCCTGGCTCCAATCGATTCCCTGGCTCCAATCGATTCCCTGGCTCCCCAGTCGATTCCACGGCCAATCAGTTCCTGGCTCCAATCGATTCCCTGGCTCCAGTCGATTCCCTGGCTCCAATCGATTCCCTGACTCCAGTCGATTCTCAACCAATCGATTCCCTGGCTCCAATCGATTCCCTGGCTCCAATCGATTCTAGCCAATCGATTCCCTGGCTCCCCAGGTACAAATTTCCAGCCACAATCTTCTTTTTGTACCATCTACAGAGCAAAAAGAAGGTCCCAAATGACTGGTGAAGTGTTCTTTGTGCGCCGGGTAATCGCTCGCGATCTGGCAAACCGCTCACTCCGGTATAGAAGGTTTCTCGTTTGGAATCCGTAAAGGGCGTAATGAACGCCGTTTTGCGCGTCACTATACCTAAATTTCTGGAGTTTTGATTTGTGCCTTTAAATCTGGCTCTATTATTTCTCCAAATTCTCCATCTTGTTTGCTAAACCTTTTAATATTAGCGTTAATTGAGAGAAAAATCCTATCTGACTTTGGCTATTTGGCAAGAGATTCATCAGATCTCTTGATTTTTTCGGTTTCGTTTTGACTTCAATCAAATTCTCTTTTAAAAGAAAATGATCTTTCTTTATGAGTGGTCTTTATGCGGCTTTTGCATCTTTAACTTGAGCTTATTTTTGATGATTCCTCTAAGGGACGTTCGCTTAATCCCCATTTTTTGTGACCGTTCTCCACACCAATTGGTTTCGGTTTTCAACGAACGATTCCCTCACTTTTTTTACATTTGCTGAATTTGTTACCGTTCGCTTTCTTCCATTTCGCTTTCGCATTTGCGCATTAAGTGAAACATTCTTGGCAATGATTTTTATTTACCCTGTAAAATAAAAGGCGATGTCAAAAACGACCCCGAAAACGACAAAAACCACATTTCTTCCACACTCCTGGCCGATCAGAATCCGTTCCCAAGGCATTGAAGCGTTTGATTGTTCGATAAGCATTCGATTCACTTTGGAAACGTTTTGCAATCACACTTTCGCTGAAAGTTTCTGTTCGCGTAGCGCATTGATCGACCTTGATGTTCGAAATGACTACGATCCTCGATGCGATTTGCTCCTCATCTGGTAATCGCCAGAACCATTCTAAAATAAATTAGACGGAATTCGACGCGCGGGAGCACAATGGAGCCCTTCACCAGGGCGATTTGCCAGATCGAGAGTACTCGGCCGCACAAAAAACCTAGCCAAAGAACACCTAGCCGGGATCTCTCTCTTTTGCTTTGTGAGTTGGTGACAATTTTGGTCTTGTATTAATGTTGAACAATAGAATTATATTAACAGAAGAAATCCAGAAAACAACACAATTTTGAGATTGGCTCATTTGTGCCAGGAAGATGAACAAAGTAATTTTGGCCATTGTAACGATAATTTTGGCCCATCCAAACTGTCCCCGAACTATTCACTGTATCCAAACTATTAGATTCATTCAAGCTATTCAATTTCCGTTTAAATGTCGTCATCATTTCTGCGTGGATTCGTGTTCGAATGGCGCCGATATGTGATTGAGACCCACCAGAAAGCCCCGAATCACCATCAAATGACAGTTTACACGTATTTTTCGATTGTCTCCCATCAGCTATCGACAAAGCGACAAACTGATTTATTTTCACTCAATTGCAACAAAGTTGGGCATAACAAAGAATTGAATAAAGTTTAACAAAATTACAGTGAAGCTTAGAAAGCTTAGAAAGCTTAGAAGCTTAGAAAGCTTCAAGAAATCTCACGAGATCATAATTCAGAAATTTTATTAAAAATAACACTTAAAATATCAAGATCGAGGCATTGGACTCACTTCGGCTTCGGGAATCGCCGAGAGTGTTCCGATTTTTTCGGCTTGCGAGCAATTTCTTGAAATTGACTACTTGGTCGCTAACATTTTACTCTATTTTGGGATAAATCCACAATTTCTGGAGCTTTCCCTTGATCAACATCATCACAATCAATTCGCAAATGTCGTCGTCGATTCGGATGACAACAACCATAATAGAGAAAAACATCACGGAAATTCCAATTATACGGAATGCTTCCAGATGAGGAAGACACTCGAATTTCCAACGGAAGTGAAAGAATCATCCCACGGGAGTAGGAAGCGAGAATCTGGAAACCGAAAAAAGGTTTTGAGAGCTTTTGAGATAAATTGATTTTCAAGAGCTAGAAACAGCTGTTCTAGATCCCCGGTTCTAGATCACAGTTCTAGATCCCCAGTTCTAGATCTGAGTTCTAGATCCCCAGTTCTAGATCCCCAGTTCTAGATCACAGTTCAGATCCCAGTTCTAGATCACAGTTCTTGATCCCCAGTTCTAGATCCCCAGTTCTAGATCCCCAGTTCTAGATCCCCAGTTCTAGATCCCCAGTTCGAATCACAGTTCAGATCCCCAGTTCGATCCCCAGTTCTAGATCCCCAGTTCTAGATCCCCAGTTCTAGATCCCCAGTTCTAGATCCCCAGTTCTAGAAAGTTTTGGGTGCTCGCCTTTGCGCCTTTGAAGTCTATAAATAACTTCTTCTAAGAATTTCCCAAAGGGCATTTTGCAAAGAAACAATAAAGCTTTTAATAAAAAAACTAGGCCAGAATTCTGTTCATGTTAGCATTATTTTTAAGACCTTCCGAAAATGATTATGAAGACTCATGCACTAACCTAATAGAAATGATTTGTTGAGGATTTGTTGAGTTTATTGATTTGAATTGAATCAATTACTGTTGATGTAGATTTTTGCGGTGCTTTGGGATTGTGTTGATGGGATGGTTTAATTGGAGAGTGCCAATTAATGGGAGGAGTACCAGTTAATTGGGAGTACCAATGGTGGAGAGTACCAGTGCAATGGGAGAGTACCAATTAATCGGAAAGTACCAATGAATTGGAGATACCAATGAATTGAGTACTCTTCTAATTGTTGTAAACTTACAGCCCCTTCGACAGCTTCAACGAAGCGCAATCGTGTACTGTCGCCTTGTTCTCCCGTCAGCCCTATTAAATGGAGTTGATAAATGAATGAAAGCATTCCCACCGATCAATCCCCATCTCAATCCAGAAATTGAATGGGGCTTTGACAGACTAAAAGAGAGTTTCTAATAAAATAGTTTGTTCAATTCTCAGTTTTGTTCAATTCTAGCCCAGATTGTCTGGATCAAGCTTTCAATTTTTTTCTGTTTTTACGGAAACCGGAAAAGGCATCAGAATGTTAAATAAAGTGAATGGGTAAAAAATATTGCGAATTTTTGTTTTTACTATTCAAGAACTTTTCGACTATTCAGTCCATTTTTACTGAATATCTTTTTTACATTTCATTTTCTTGCTGCCTGTAAAGCTTGCCTGTAAAGCTGTGATGTGCAAGTGAAAGCACAACAAAATGCACTCCAAAGAAGCCGATCATCCAGAAACCGAATGCCCAAAAGGAAAGCACCAATATGGTGAAACGAGATAGAACCGTAAAAGCTCTCCAAATGAACTGGAACAAAAAAAGATCATTAGCTTTATTGAGGCATAGAATTTACCTGTAGAACGCTTTCATGCGGATGCATGTTGACTTTGTCAGGCCGGCAAAGGCGTAGACTTCGGTGTTGAATTGAGATCGACCAGCAAGCGGATGAAAGGGACAATAAGAGAGAGACGATTTGCACATAAACTGCAAATGAATTCTTGCTGAATTTGTAAAACTGAAGAGAGTAAATTGACAGCATTGAGGCCTTAAAGTGATTTGAGTGCAATTAAAACACTAACTTTTCGAGATTCCTATTACCTAATTCTAACATTCTAACATGTATTTTCCTTCAATTTTTCCTTAATTTTGCCCGCACCCCATAAACAAATAAATTTGAAGTTTTTTGGGCACAATTGATTAAATTGAGAAATCCCTGTTTTATGCCTGTATTCTCTCTAATAGTAGTGCCCTCTCCCCCTCCGCCCGGTCAGGCCGAGTTGACGACTATTTTTACAGTTCCCAAGCTTTCGCACAACCTCAACTCTCTAGAAATCCCCCACTAGATCTCATCGCCAGCTACATTTTCCGACCCCACATCGATAGGTTCTGATAAGCGGTTCTCGAGATTTCGAAACGCAGTTTAGGCGACGCTCAGGGTGCACTACTATTAGAGAGGCCGTATTCAGTCATAGAGGTCTATTAGAGGTAATGCAATTATTCTGTATTTTACGGTATCCCTTATATAGAATGCATTTATTCCCATGAGTCAAAAAACCTCGCTTATTCTGTATTTTTCTCTATTTAAAAGGCGCCCTCTTCCCCTCCCCCCGAAGTCGAGCCGAGTTGACGACTATTTTACCCAGTTCCTAAGCTTTACAGAAGATCAGCACTCAAAATCCCCACTAGATATCATCGTCATTTACATTTTCCGACCCCACATCGATAGGTAATAGAATTGTGTAGAACCCGTCCGCCTGGTGCACCTGGCCGTGGTGCGCCGTGGTGCACATAGTAGTGCTCCCCGGCGAGCCGAGTTGACGACTATTTTACAGTTCCCAATTCTTCCCAGAAGCTCAACTCTCCAATCCCCCACTAGATTCATCTTCAGCTGCATTTTCCGACCCCACATCGATAAGTTCTGATAAGCGGTTCTCGAGATTTCGAGCAATTTAGCAATTTAAGGTCCACTACTTAGATTATATTAGAGTATTAGAGAAAATACGGTAAATCGCTATTTCCACCATAAAACTTGCCCGTTTATCTGAAGATATACGCAGGTTTTACAATTATTAGGTTAAAGATTTAAAAGTAAATAAATCACTGTACCCCATTTGGGCAGCTCTCCATCAACGGGTTTTGAGGCAAAAAATTGCGCCAAGATTGTGCCCTGAACTAAGAGTTGGAGTACCGACTCTGAGAAAACGCCTCGAAAAAGTAACAAAGTCCCATCTCTCTCTGATTCGATCATTTTTGCTAAAATTTTGGATTTTATGGTCCATAGACCTCCATAGAAATCTTTTGAATTATGTCCATTTGCCTGCCTAGAAGGAAATTTCAACTGCGTCACAGTGACCATGGGTTATTCGATGCAAACCTGTAACGCCAAATCACGTCATTAATGTCGAAATCTTGTTTTTCATTTTAAGCTGATGGCTGTTTAATGTTAATAGTTAAAGGTAAACTTATTTAAGAAAAATAGTTTAAACCTTTATTTGGAACAACTAACTTTGCAAGCAAAAAAAAAGCCAGAAGAAAAGGTAGAGACCGGGTCGAACTGGTGACCCCCTGCCTTGTGTTCCTAACCTACTGCCACTCGGCCATCGCTGCTGATTGCAGAAATCGCTGCTGATTTGCCGAAATCGCTGCTGGTGCAGAAATCGCTGCTGATTGCAGAAATCGCTGCTGATTGCGAAATCGCGCTGCTGATTGCAGAAATCGCTGCTTTTGCTGCCATCGCTGCTGCTTGCGGAGGCTCTGTTTGCAAGTCGGAGTGCGATTTTTTGAGTTTATGCTGTTTTTGAGTTCGTTTTTGAGTTGATTTTTGAGTTGAAATTCCATACAAACCCTATACAAAACTTTGCCCTTATAACTTCAACTTCAGATGATGCTGTAGAGCACTCCATAGCAGAAACGGAAAGCAAATTCGGAATCAGCGTGAAATTCTGCGTCGAATAACCCCATGGTGCATGTCATTTTCCCACCGAAATCCCCTTGTTGTAAGGTAAACCTTACATACAATTGTATCCAAAATACTCAAAATCACATACCAAAAATGTTTCCTCGCCTCTTTTGCGTTTTTCTCTTTTCGAAAACGAATCCCTTCTATTAAAGCTCGAATATAATACAAAATTGGACCTAACTAAATTCTTGAAGCATTGGACTTTTGGATAAAAGAATTACCTGAAAAATGCATGCAAAGACTTTGAAGAGAAAGCTTTTGCGACAAATCGACTTTTGGCTTCTTCCACTCTGAGATCTCATCTGAGATCTCATCTCAAGCCCTCATCTGAACGTTGCCTGAAATGTTTTGGATCGATTTTGATTGATGATTGAAAGTTTTCTTTATTTTGTTTTGATTTTTGATCCTACCTCATCATCAAACATAAATCCAAGAGTCACTAGAATTAAGTGCAATCGAGCAGAATAGACATGGCGCCAAAATAAAGATGCCGGACCAAAGCTGAAATTTGTAATTGTTTTGTTTTATTTTGTTTTCAGTTCAAAAAAATCCATTTCTTATCGACAAATTCAATTTTAGAATTGATCAATCTAATCAGCTAATACGTATTTCTGTATCCTTTATTGCTTTCTGTATCCTTTGTTGCTTACCTAATTCTTTTGATTCAAAAATAATCCAGATTTGTGTTGAAAAAACCTAGAAATCTTTGCTAGTCTTTGTTCTGTCCGCTTAAACATAATCTGGGGGAATTTTTGGAGTTCTAAATATTCTTATGATTTAGCCTGATCTTAATTTCAATAATTTCAATATAATTTCAATATAATTTCAATATATTGGGTCAGTGAGTTGAAAACTGCAGGCTATTGTCATATGTGACAGTTTGAGCACTTTCTTCAAAAGAAACCCATTTTGGTTGTCAATGGAAAAGTTGTAGAGAATCAAAATCAAGCTTATATCCAAATTTTTCAGAGCGATTCAAAAACTGGTTTTCAAGAAATGCCAAATTTAAGAAAGAAATGCCAAATTTAAGAAAGAAATGCCAAATCTTCACAAAACTTGCATTTTAAGCGAAACTACTAAGTGTATCTTTTTGAAAATTTGGCTATAAGCTAATTTTTGATTCTCTACAACTTTTCTATTGACACCAAAATGGGTTTCTTTTGAAGAAAGTGCTCAAACTAGGATCTCCAGTCCTCCATCTCCCGTCCTCCATTTTAAGTCTCACACTTGTCTCAGACACAAACCAAAACCCTTCTACGAAAGAGGAATCCGCAAATTGCCTGTAAAATGGGCAGAAGTCGTCAATAATATTGGAAATTATTTGGAATGAATTCATGGTTTTATGTTGAATAAATTTTAGTTCAAAGTCCGATAGTTTTCAGTTCAAAAACCCGATATTTCCAAAAGTTTCCCTAAAGCCATTTTGCAAAGAAACAATAAAGCTTTTTAATAATTCAAATAGTTGGCAATATTCAAATAGAAATTCTGTTGGTGTTGGCATTATTTTAAAAGTTAAAATATGCGGCTAGTAATGCTGTTAAAATAGGCTTTCTCCTCAAAATAAAGCACTACTCGTCCCTGGGCGAAATGCAAATATGCAACAGCACAATCGGAAACGAAATCCGACAAATATGTGACAATAGCTATAAAGAAGAAAATCAAATCGAATCTTCGCACAAAAGTTTTCTCGGGAGTCGATCTTCCTGATTTTCATCGAAACCAACATCAGCTGAAAGTAAATGAGCAAAATTGACCGTTTTTTAATTGCACGGGAGTGCACATCGGCGCGAAATAAGGCCAAAATGCGTTTTCTATCCGGATTTTCTGGGAGTACCTTTTAGATTAGCTGCGGAAAATTGTGCTGATTCCGAATCTGAAGGAATTTTTCAAATCTCTCTGACAGAAATTTTTAAATTTAGGTTTAGCGGTTTTTGGTCATTTTGTATGGGAAATTTTGTGGTACCCTGCAGTTTGGAGCTCGTAACTCGACAACGAGGGTCTCGAACCAAAAACGAAGGGATAATTTTTATTCTAGAGACTCTTACGAACATTTTGATGCAAAAATCATCAAATTTGCTCAACTCTACAAAAGTTATAACATACAAAAAGTGATCTAAGGCGCGCGACGTGAATCCCGCGCCAAAGTATGGGGTTGTTGGTTCGGCTCTCCGGCGCACTTGAGCTATTATTTTGCATATTCCTTAATTGTTTTTTTGAGTGAATACGATACATAGCTACATTGCTCTTTTGAACAAAACAATTTTTTCCGCGCCTTGCCCATTAGCGAACCTTTTTTCGCGTTTCAAAAAAGCTCTAAAAAGCTAATATTAACCAATTTCTATTCCAAATGTCCCCTTTTTCTAGGTATTCTAGGTAATTTGAGGGTGTAGAATCGAAATTTTGACATATCAGAGCTTGTGGAACCAATTTGAAAGACGGCTAGATCAAATTATAGAAAATTGTCGATTTTTTCTCTTTGTATAACTCCGTCCGTTTGTTTCACAAGCTCTGATATGTCAAATTTCAGATTCTACGCCCCCGATTATTACCTAGAAACCTAGACAACTTGGAATAGAAAGCAGTTAGCATATTTTACCTTTAGAGCTTTTTAAAACGCGAAAAGGGTGCGCTAATGGGCAAGGTGCGGAAAAAAGTGCGCAAAATGGCCGGGTGCGCAAAAAAGGTCGCATTTGTCCCACCGCCTAATTGCATCTCTTTCTACCACTCTCTTTCTATTTCGACCATTTAAACTCTACTTTTCAAATCATTATACAATAAGCGAAGGTTTAAATCTAAAAATTTCAAAATGCTAAACCTTGTTCGACTTCGACTTGATGAATCGGATCGATTCCATAAAGATACAAAAGTTTTGGCGATCGTCGCTCAAACATCCTAAATGAATCATATTTGTGAATGGAGAAATGACGATTGAGTCAAAAAAAAAAAGCAAATGACGTAAAACGATTGGGATGACAATGAGAAAGTGGGAAAAAGGGGGAAAAAGGGGGAAAAGGAGGAAAGAAGGGGAAAGAATGTCATTAAACTTTAAGAACGCGATGTCTTTAACATTCATTTTCTGATGCTTTACCGAAGACGAATGTTATTGATTGTTGATATGTTGTTAGGTAAAAATTTTTATGAAATGAAACTTTTGATAGTTTTTGATAGTTTTAAGAGTTTAATAGTTAAGTTTTGATAGTTTTGATTAGTTTATTAGTTAACTTTTGATAGTTTTAAGAGTTTAAATAGTCAACTTTTGAGTGATTTTAATAGTTTAATAGTTACATTTTCATAGTTTTAATAGTTTAATAGTTAAGTTTTGATAGTTTTTGATAGTTTAATAGTTAATTTTTGATAGTTTTAAGGCTTAACAGTTATCTTCTCCTAGTTTTTGACAGTTTTAAAAGTTTAATAGTCAATTGTTGTAGTTTAATAGTCAACTTTTGATAATTTTCTTTAATAGTTTAATAGTCAACTTTTGATAATTTTTGACAGTTTTAATAGTTTAATAGTTAAGGTTTTGATAGTTTTTAAGTTTAATAGTTAGTTTTTGGTAGTTTAATAGTTAAGTTTTGATAGTTTTTGACAGTTTTAATAATTTAATAGTTAACAGTTAATAGTTTTATTAGTTTAATAGTTAAATTTTCATAGCTTTAATAGTACATCAGTCTAGTTAAAAATTGTTAACATTTGTAAAGCCTGCACAAGAAAAGCTACTGATTCCATACTGACATCAAGACATGAATAAGCCAAGATTATTGATTCACATCAATAATCTTGGCTTATCCAATATTTTAAGCATTGGTGAAAGTTTAGATAAAAGCTATTAGATAAAAGTTTAGATAAAAGCTATTAGATAAAAGAGAATTCGATTCAATTTCAAACAGACATTCAAAGAAGAATATTGTGCTCGAGAAAAGCGATCGGGTGATCGAGAAAAGCGACCCGAGGAATTGTCGGGTCATTCCATTTTTGCCTATGGCTCTTTCTGGAAGTTGATCGATCATTCACACTTTCTTTGCCGATCTGATCATTCAAAAAGAAAGAAATGAGAAACAATAGCAAGCAAGCAAACAAGCAAGCAAGCAAGCAAGCAAGCAAATAGTCATGTTTCTAGACTGTACTTTGCTCTAATTTGTTTTCAAAATGGAAACACAGAAATCTAGATATTTCAAAAGCTCACTAGATATTTCAATTTTCTAAAAATAGGTTTTAGAATTTCGAATTTAGTTCTCAATTTGTTGTCAAGCTCTTCACCACGGTTCTCCAGTATGCCATGAAAGACCTCGACTACGGCATCCAGGTAGACGGCAGGAACATCACCAACCTACGCTTCGCAGACGACATCGTGCTCTGCGCCAAGACACCAGCAGAAGCCCAACGGATGCTAGAAGACCTCAGCCGAGTCAGCAAGAAGATTGGCCTCCGAGATGAACAAGAAAAAGACTCAGAGCATGAGGAACGTATGGTGCCCACCTGGAGAGATCAAGCTGGAAGATAATTGAAGAAGTCACCTTCTACACCTAGCTCGGAAGAAGCATCAACATGAAGGGAGACGCCAGGAGTCGCCAGAAGAAGACGAGCGGCTTGGACAGCACTAGGAAGAATCAAAGAAGTCACAAAGATACTCAAGAATCACCAGAGGGACTCCGGGCATACCTCTTCGACAGTACCGTCCTCCGGCACTCTGCTATGGGACAGAGACCTGGGCCACGACACAGACCACCGAACGAGCCCTGAGAACGACGCATCGAGCCCTTGAAAGGAATCTCCTCGGGCACAATAGGAAGACGCAGCTCGATCAAGACCCTAGAAGTATGGATATCGCCAGCGCTCGGGACTCAGAGATCCAGTGGAAGTGATCGAGAGAAGAAGACTCAGATGGGCCGGCCACGTAACCAGAAGAACAGACGACAGATGGACGATATGGATTACAGAGTGGCTGCCACGAGACCAGAAGAGGCCCATCGGAAGACCAGCAAACGAGGTGGAGCACAAGAGTGGCAGAGACGGTCAGAGAAAGGATGGCTAGAGTGCAACCACCACCAGCACAAGCAAGTCGAAGACTTCGAACCAGGAACACCCAAGATAGGAAACACTAGACGACAAGAGCAAGAGATAGAGAAATGTGGAAGCAGGCTGTGATCTGCGCAAAATAGGAACACCTAAATGCGACGACAGATCAAAAATTGTTGTCACGAAATTGCTAATCTATAACTTTTTTGTTTTGTTTTGTTTTGTTTTCCATAATTTCCATAATTTCTTTGATGAATTGGATGGGTAAACATAACATTTCTATCGCATTCTTTTCTTTTCTTGCAAATCGTTGAGAATTTTGAGCTGAGCTGAGCAAGAATTGATTGATTCATTCATTTTTCAGGTAAAGAAAAGAAAAAACGAAGAATTGATGTACCAGAAAGGGTAT